AAGTAGAATTTATTGATTATAATTTCGGCCGATAATACAATTGCGAGTATCTCGTGATTGGATGATCCAAAATCAATAATGTTAACTCATTGGATTCATCTAGTTGCGAGGAATTGAATGGTAGTTATTTCATACGAATCAGTGCGATATTGACCGAGATCATACATCTTTTGTTTTTGTTTTTCTAAATATAAAAAATCATGTGATATGATGTCATTTTGACTATTTTAAGACTTTAGCCTTCAATGGTCAAAATGATTTTGACCATTTTAACCATTTCAGATATCCGAAATGATCCATTTCGACTTCATGTATAGTTTGGCTATATCATCAGTCATAATTGCAAAATTAGCATTAGGATCAACCACAACACCTGGGATCACTAAGCGTTTGATTTTATATTTTACCATTGCAATATCTATAACAGGATCCTTTTTCTGAACAAAATCGATTTCTATTAGATCCTCCAAATATTCTTTCTCCTCTAGGTTTGATAAAATGTCTTTGGTAATTGAAACCTTATCACTCTGAAACTCTGTCTTCTTCTGAATAGAAGGCACTTGTTTTGATGTATTAGCTTTATTGGAACTAGAAACAGAGTCTTGAGAAATCAATATAGGAAAAATTAATTTAAGTTCACTTTGGAGAATTTTATGAATAGTTTCTTCCAGAGTGCTTTGTTTAGCCTTACCAGATCTATTTATTAGCTTCTCATATTCTACTTTACCAACCTGTTCAGCGGATTTAGCCAAAGGCATTATACTATTGGACTTGTTTTTTTACTTAGAGCATTTTTTAGATAATGATTTCTTGGAACTAGATTTCTTAGAGCTTGACTTTCGCTTTACTTTTTTTTATCTTAGTCATATTAACATTAAGCTCACTTTCAGAATCAGAAAAATTGGAAGAACTTGAATCAGAATCAGAACTATTACTAGATGAGGTATCAGAAGAAGAATCTGAATTTGAATCTGAGGCCAGATCTAAAATAGTGAGATTAACCTTACCTTTTTTAGACTTTTTCTTTTTCTTCTTTCAAAAGCAGTTGCGAGAATTATGTTCAGGCTTACTACAGATAGAACATTTATGTTATGTTTTTATAGCCTTTTTAATGACCTTAGCCACATGCAACTTTAATTGCCTTTTTGTCAACTCAGAAAGTTCATCATCAGAATCAATCTCAATCTTTTTATTTGGCTTTAGTGGTATAGTGGGATTAGGAATAGAAACAAATTCTGGGGTCTCTTCCATAATCCATGATAAAAATCTGCCTATATTCTCATCTCGTAAATTTTTATGCATTTCTGCAGGTTGTGGTTGAAATTGTGATGAAGTTACTTGTTGAGGCTGTTGAGGTTCTGAGGATGCCATTGTATTTTTTACCAAGCTCTCAATTTCATTTCTAGTCATCCCTGATCTATTAGTACTACATATGGATTCGCTGTCAGAAAAATTGGAAAGAAGACGGTATGCTTTTTGAGATAATGTATAATTTTCTACTTCAGCTAGAGCTTGTGTAATATTATTATGTTTATCATGAAATTTGGCCATCATTCGGAGATTATATTGATTCATCAGAAACAGATCACGAATAAATTGCTCTCTTTGCTGTTTAGAAGTCATTTCAGCTACATTACCAATCTTTTTAATTCTAGTGGAGAATTGCTCAACTGACATATCGTCTTGCATGAGTTGACCAAAAACTGCCATATATTTTAAGTATTCAACTGTTGTATAAGCGGTTCTAAGCAAATAAAAAGTTAACTAAGCTTAATATTAGGAGCAATAGTAATGGCAGGAAGACCACCTCCAGCATTAGGCACTACTGATGCATTATCTATAGATTCGCTACCAGTCATAGACCAATCTTCATCCCATGTTTCATTTGAAATAATATCGGCACCTGTTGCAACTCCTGTTCCAATTCTACCAATTTCGGCAGCCGCCTTATCTTGAAATTCTCCAGTAGTATTCAAACCACCAATTTGATTACCACTTTTTCCAGTGACTATTTCTCAAACAGCAGTTAAAGTAAGTACTTCTAAGTTGTCTGAGAGATTATTGCATCTCCAATTTTTACCTCTGATGCGGGTTAAATACCAATTTAATGCATCACCTGCAAGGCATGATACTACTAGCCTAAATGCCTCTTCTTTTCTGGGGGCCTGACCTATACCAGACACAACATTTATTTGACTAGCTATTATATATCTTTGCATGTCTCTAAGCCAATCATCTGGATCCTTTCCAGGACGACCATAAAATATTGGGGGTCTTATTTAGTAGATTATTCTGTAATGCTAAAATTTCTCCTTGTAAATTAAATGTTATTTGACGTTCTTCATGTGTCTTATTTTTCACTTCTCATATCTATCAAAAAGCCGATCTTGATTATATTCTAATACCCCCCTATCACCTTGACATTCATGCAGTTGAGCTTTCAGTTGACGATTATCTCTCCTTGTATCAACCCATAAATCTTGTGCTATCCTAGCCTTGCGGATCTGAAATTGAGAAATAAAAATAAGGTAAGTATTTTTTCAAAGTAATCTAGCTTTCTTCTCTTCTAGCTGATCATTAATAGCTTCTATATCTTCATCATAGGATGGAAAATTTGGCATAAAATCTTCCTTCCCATCTATAATATCTCTTAAATTACCTAAAATCTCATTATCAAATTCTAAATGAGAACTTGACATTTTAGAAGAAGGAGAATAACTTTCACCATATATAACTTGTGTCAATTCTTGAACCCTTTTTTCTGCAGTATTAGTAAGGCCGATAACCTTTAAAGTTTTCTTATGCTCTTTCTCTAATAATTGGCAAACCTCTTAGGAAGATAAGTTTTCTTCTGACTCTACTGGAGGCAGTATTAAAGATAGAATACTAGCCGATAAATCATCATCAAGTTGCTCACTCAAATTGTGATGATGCCCAATAGATTGATCGAATTCTTCTTGTAATGTTCTAATAGGAACTCTCTCACTAGAGGAGTTACCAGAAAGTAAACGAGGCTTTTCTATTATTCTAGCAAGATCTTCTTCTAAAGCATTCTGGGTATCTTGTAATTCTCTATCATGCTTAGCTATTGTTCTTTCAGCTTGTAAAAGATTGTCTTCAAGATTTTTTAACCAATCCCAAATTCTGCGTAAATTTATTTCATTATTAGCAATACGCCTTACTTATTTTAAACGGTTTACTAAGATAGTAGCATAATAATTAATTTTTTCGCATTCATCTATTCCATATATATAGTCTTGTATTCCCGATGCATCTGATGAGCTAGAAGTTATATTACTTGATAGAGGTTGATTATAATCCAATTATGAGGATGATGAGAATGATGAAGAATCTCTTGTTAATGATATTGAAGGGGTTTCTCTAGGACCAGGTATATTTAATGATGCTATAATAAGATTACTAATCCTATTTTTTAGCTGAAATATCTCTTCATAAAGCTTAGATAATTCTTCTGATATCTGATCTTCTCAAAAAGTTATAAATAGCAATCTATACTTTGCAATCTTTCCAGATTATGGATTTTTATCTCTAATGCCATTATCTGGCTTTTAAGATCAGATATCTTCCGCTCTGAGATCTCTTTTGTATTATACCAGTGATGTGCATTTGGAAGATTGAAAGCATCTTTGGAAGCATCTTTGGAAGGTTTGGAAGCACAATTTATTAATGAAATTATTTGGATTGGAAGCTTCCAATCAAATTTTTTACTATTGGAACCATAAAATGCATATCACTGTATTATACAATCGAGATATCTCTAGCTTACTATGATATAAATCACATTTTAAGAATTGTATTCGATTCTCATATACTTCATTTTCAGACATCAGCATTATACATAAAGTCGAAATGAAAACCCAAAAAGTCGAAATAAAAAGTCAAAATGGTCGAAATTACATTATATCACATGATTTTTTATATATATAAAAATAAAAAAAAAACAAAAGATGTACGATCTCGGTCAATATCGCTCTGATTCGTATGAATCAACTACCATTCGATTCCTCATTCGAATCCTCGAAAAACTCTTTTCTGAAATTTTTAGACCATTTTTTCAAAAATATTAAAAACTTTTAAAAATAATTTTTTCACTATACAAACTAAATACAAACAATATTAA